GTGTGTGTCCGTCGTGGTCACGACAACCACGAGGAATCTTTGGACGGAGATTGTGCGCATGTGGCGCGCCGGATGAGGCGTCTGCGGCGGCGCCGCCGACCGTCGAGGCCGCCGCCAGCAGCGTGATGCGAGGGGTGTCACACCACCAAGGGAATCAGCCCCTCCCCGATTCGCGACAAGATGGGTATCGTCCGTTCATGTCTTAATCCTTGCGCTCAATTGTCAATACTTAACCAACCATGTTTGTGTTTTCAACGAGTACACCGTACCTCCTCTCTCCTCTCACAAGGGCAAGGCGACGGATCCGAACAACGTCTACAACCCGGAGAACGGGCCCGATCGCGCACACCAACCCCACCGCCTACGAGAAGGCCACCGAGTACACCGTCGCGGCTCGCCCGGCCTTCTGAGACGTTCGACCCCACCGCCGAGCCCCCAGACACAGACCTCCTGCAGAGAGGTTGGGACGAGGAAGCAAAGACGGCCGCTACTACATGGCCCACGCCGCCCCTCGACCCATCCCAGTTCCTCTGACCTGTGTTCGATCCACGCCCACGAGCTCCAAATGACATCTCCGTAGCCCCGGCGGCGGTCGGCGTCACGGTAAGTGCCGTTTGTTTCGTCGTTCACTCGTTTCGCTTTGTACATACAATCAACACCTGCGGATGTAATATTGCGAGCCCGGATGGAGGCCAAGATGGAGGAGAGGATCGCCACGTTGCACGCCTGAGATGATGATGGCGCAACAGATGGCTTACCGGCAAAGCTCGCAGCGGCACTACAACACTCGGATGCGAACATGGCCGCTTCTTCCGGTCCATGCAGACGCTTCGGGCGCTACACCGCCTCCTCTTCCAATGTTCGCTCCACCGCCTCCTCCTCCGTTTTTTCCATGCTCGCTCCTGTCGCTCTCCCGGAGGGACCCCGTGTGAGTATATTGACTCTTGCTTTAACTTGTGCGTCCATGCTGCGCGAGATACTAATGACATCACTTGGCGTTTAACTTGCGAATACGATCGGTGGGTTCGAACCCGTCTCCCGGAGGTCCCGCCATCGATGATGTCGTATCCACCACCGCATCCTATCCACCGTATCCACCTCGCGTGGCCCTCCTCCGACGTACTTTTCGTGGCGTGCGGTGCGGCGCGGAGGGTGGCGATGACGCTGAGCGCCTCGATTTGGTCCAAGGGGTTTCCATGGGCAAACCACAGGGGCTCTGGGGCGAGCGGACGACGAGACCGGGACGGCGCGACGAGCTAGGTATTTGTCGATTCTGTTATCATGTATCCACCGTATCGTCGAAGTTGTTGTCATGTATTTCTTTTCTTCGTTATGGACCTAGACTTGTTATGTTGAACTTACGTGTGATGGACGTCGACTTGTGGTGTTCGGCGTGTTGGACTTCATGTGATGGTTGTAATGCACTTGTGTGGTTGTTATTGTGACATATATGTGAGATATATGTGATGTTGTGCGTTATTGTGATATATGTGGTGATGTTGGCGACAAATGTGATGAAATTGTGATATAAATGGTGCTACCGGTGCTTACGGTGAAATTGGATTATAATTTGTGATTTTGCAGGGTTTTGATGCGAGAAAATAGAAAACAAAAGCAAAAAAAAAATCCAGCTTTGCCGACTATTTACATCGGCAAAAGTCAAAAAAAACTCCTAGGACGAGTCTTTGCCGATCGCAATGGGAGGCGATCGGCAAAGAGGTCAAACCTTTGCCGATCGCAACTCAAAGCGATCGGCAAAAGAACATTTCAAAAAAATATTTTTTTTTCTTTGCTTGCTGAAGTTGGCGGCGATCGGCAAAAAAATTTTGAAAAAAAAATTCTTTGCCGATCGCCGAGGAACCAACGATCGGCAAAAGGTCGCCGTCGGTATTGACGGCGCCACGTAACTATCTTGCCGATCATTGCGGCGTGGCGATTGACAAAGGCTTTGCCGATCAGTGCCACGTGGCAGTCGGCAAATCCGCCTTTGCCGACCCAGGCTTTGCCGACTGCTCTTTGCCGACCGCCACGTGGCTTTGCGGTCGGCAAAGCCTTTGCCGACTGGGTTTATGCCTTTGCCGACCGGGGCAAGTAGTCGGCAAAGAGGCGTTTTCCTGTAGTGACATGCGTATCGACGAGTACATAGTCAAAGTGCTGAAGCCCTTAATCATCGCCACATTGAATACGTCATGTTCGAGTTGCATGCATCCGTGCTGATCCATATAGCTCCACGTCTCTAGACTCCGTCGGGATCAATAAAGAAAAGAAAGCCAACAGATATGGCCATGGAGACATCGGCGACATGAACCAGATCTGATCTAAAGTCAAGTATCAAAATCAGAGCACAAGTTAGACTACAACGCCACCTCCATCTCCAACACGACATCGACACTGGAATTTCCAAGTCAAGGTTTCATCGATCAAGACGTTCCTCTGATTACGAGCAAACAAGAAGCTTGTACAGGCCTTGCAAGTTATTTAATATAATCAAGGGGCAACTAGCATACACGTGTGCATGCATGCACAACATGCTACATGCCCAAACTTGGCCTAAACGCTCAGACAACAAGATGCCATCGGTCAGCAAGCAAACCAAGAAGGGTCACCATTCTGAGTGCTCGACGTGCCTATCGGTCGACTGGTTTACTTTGTCGACAACCTCCTACTCGGGATGATGACTAAGCTGATGCTCCGGGGCTCCCAAACCCGAAACAATCGATCGGCTACTACTCATTCATGACCTGACGTCAACACACAAGGGCAACATATGTGCTGCCACCGGACGAGTGGACTCCGTCAGGCTACGTCACGATTCTACGCCGACCACACCAACACCTGTACACAGCAGATCCGATCTCGAACTATCTTCGAGGTCGCCTTCACCAACAATTCACTGCCCGCTAGGTGCTCGCCGTCAATGCTGACCAGATAACGCCATACGCCATCGACCAGACGTTCTGTCTAAAGCTAAGTCACGCTTTAATATTTTTCTAAATATTCTCCAATCTTCGTATATCGCCATAATGTTTCTTCGAGTTGTTTTCTCCATATTTGCTCTCCAAACAATTTCCTTTCATATATATCATCTTAAAGATGATATACAGCTAAGTCTAAGGCAAATTCCCGAACAGTCATATTGATGCTCGGATGTTCCTAGAGACGACCTTGTCTCCGGCTCCTCCCTACACATGCACGAGCATCTACCCTCTGCGTTATGGGTGGTCGGCAGCGGCTCCTTAGTGATGCTTTGTTCTTCCTACACGCACACAGGCTCCGCGCTCTGCATTATGGTTAACGGGCTAGTTAGGGCTGGAGACTCAGCTACACACACTAACTGGTCGAACGATTTATATTAAATATAAATACATCTTCATACCAACTGATCGTCGAGCTGCATACGCTACTTCATCACCACTGCTGATTTTTCTCCGGAGTTCATATATTTTTACATCATGTACTACCCGTTCTACATATTTGTATTGCAGAATCATCGTCCAGGTGATCGGGCCACCTGGTGCTCGAACTTCTCCACCAATCAACTGGTCGGACCGCTAGGTTCATGGACTTCGTCGCCGACCAGTTGATCGAACTGTTCGCCGGTCGCTTCTACTCAATGCTCACTTCGTCGCCTGACTAGTTGACCGGACTGTTCGTCGCTCGTGCTTCATCATCAGCTACGCACGGGGTTCCTCGGTGCTCGAACATCGCAAGCTACACCGGGGACTCCTCGGCGCTTGGATTCTTCGTGCTCGAGGACTAAGTGGGCACACTTTACCTTGCGGACATCGCCAGCTACGCCGGGGGCTCCTCGGTGCTCGGACATCATCAGCTACGCCGAGGACTCTTCGGTGCTCGGACATCGCCAGCTACGCCGGGGGCTCCTCGGTGTTCGGACATCGTCAGTTACGCAAGGACTCTTCGATGCTCAAACATCGCCAGCTACGCGGGGGGCTCCTCGGTGCTCGGACATCGTCAGCTACGCCGGGGACTACTCGGTGCTCGAACGTCGCCAGCTACGCCGGGGACTCCTCGGTGCTCGGACATCGCCAGCTGCGTATGGGGACTTCTCAGTGCTCGAACATCGCCAGCTACGCCAGGGACTCCTCGGTGCACGGACGTCGCCAGCTAAGCCGGGGACTCCTCGGTGCTCGGTTGTCGTTAGCTACGTCGGGGACTCCTCGGTGCTCGGACATCACCAGCTACGCTGGGACTCCTAGGTGCTCGGACGTTGCAGCTACGCCGGAGACTCCTCGGCGCTCGGACATCACCAGCTACGTTGGAGACTCTTTGGTGTTCGGATTCTTCATGCAAGCGTCGTCAGCTAAGCTGAGGACTCCCTTGGTGGTCGGATCTTGCTACGTCTTGTCGGTGTGCTATCAAGCTGCTCCATGCTGTTCGGATCAGGGTGCTGATATTGGGCAGCATGTCTGAAGTCTTGATACGCGCATGTCAGACGACATCAGCAAGCTTTGAGACTTCTTTTTCTTTGACCCTGCTACAAGATTTATTCTTTATTTTTCAGCAGGCTCGGGGACTAAGTGGGCATACTTCACCTTGCGGTGAATGTGTGCTTCTCAATTCGGGGCTACGCCCGGGGTCTGGCTGCCTGCTCGGCTGGTTTTCTACTTTTTTCTACTTTGGACCCTAACACCACATGACCACATCAGCTACTGTCAGGCTCGGGGATTAAATATACATACTTCACCTTACGGTGAGTGTGTTTGCTTTAATCTGGAAAACTCTGCGCCTCCTGAAGTCGAAGAGGATTGTCTCCCTTTCTCGTGGTCGGACTCTAAAGTGGGTACACTACCGCGAGGAAATTTTCATTATATTGTACAGGGATTGGCGAGATGAAATTCCAGGTTCCGGCGTGGTGGTGGACTGCTGAGAAAAATACAGGCTTTAAGCATCAAGGATCATTCCGGTGAACTCCAAAGATGAACTTCATTATATTGTTGATGAACTGAGATGAACACTGTTGTACAGAGTACGGGTACATGATGAAGATCACGGAGAAGAGCGACGTGTACAGCTACGGCGTGGTGGTGCTGACGGGGAAGCAGCCGATCGACCCGACGACGATCCCGGACGGGCTCCACGTGGACTGGGTGCGGCGGTGCAGGGACCGCGCCGCCGTGCTGGACCCGGCGCTGCGGGGCCGGTCGGCTGGCGAGGTGGAGGAGATGATGCAGGTGATGGGCGTGGCGCTGCTGTGCGTCAGCCCGACGACCGGCCGACGATGAAGGACGTGGCGGCGATGCTAAAGGAGATCAGGATGGAGCGTGAGGACCTGGCCAACGTGGACGTCCTCCTCAAGGGCGGCGCGTCGCCGCCTCCGTCCCATCATGGTCATGCCCCGGCGGCCAAGCTAGCGTCGTCGTCGACGTCGAGCACGCCGCCGTCGTACCGGCAGGGCCCGAGCAACAGCCACAGCCACAGCTGCTGCTGCTGCAGCAGCTTCTCCGCCATCTACTCCTCATCCAACAAGGCCAAGTCGCCATTTGGCTGAAGCTGAACCAATGCAAAGCAGGGCTGCAAACTAAACTGGGAGGTGATACAATACCAAGCTCTCAGCGGATGAAGAAGAAGAATGTTTCTAGCTTGCGAGGCTGGCTTCTGTGATGCGTTCTGGAGCAAGTTAGTGATGGTGGTAAGCTGTGTAAATGAGAAGATAGGTTGTTTGCATTTGTTTCTGTTTTTGGAGGAGTTAGGATTAGACCTTGAACCAAAAGGTTTTAATGCCTTCTTGATGAGCAGCGAGTGTTCAGTGTATGTTTGTTTCGAATAAAGATGAAAATTTGGTTGCATGCTCATGCAGATGTGCAAGATTTACAGTTTTTGCAATGCTTAAAGCCTCAAAGCTTCTTTTGAAGTAAAATGGCCGAGTACTGATAGCATCCTCCAGAAGATGCAGACTTGGCAGTTTCTGTAGAAGAGAAATGAGCATTACTGCTTTTAAATTTTTCATGTTGCCAGCGTGATGTGTTCTCCAGTTCGTATATTTAGAACTCCAATACAGATAAGGGCGGAGCTTAAAAGTTGTATGCAACGAACAAAAATTCTTAACCACTCCTATATGAACTTTAGACTGAACAGAGGATCAGATAGCTCCTTGACGCAGCCCACATCCCTTTTGAACCAAACGCGACGTGGGTCGAACCCGTTCCGACCCACGTCGATCCAGTAACCAAACACATGCTAATAGACTCAGACGCAAATTGTGCACAGTAAAGGCAAGAAATAGCTCCCAGGTCAATGCCATATCTCCAAGGGCATAAAAGGTCAATAGCATCCAATTATATTAAAGGTAACCGAAGGAGCAATTTTTAATGATACAACAAGACAGTATCATGGAAGCCTGATATGCCCTTGTACCAGAAATGGCATCCATGATGGAAAATGAAACCTCATGGATCTTCTTTTCTAAATAAAATAAAAAGGAGGTCCAGTCAGCAGTTTTTTTAGCAGTCACTCAAACCGTTCAGGTATGTCTCAGGTACTGAAACCTGAAATACATTGTAGTGATGATTTAGACTTTTCTCCCCATGCAACCTGTAGACTCCACCGAGCGCTCCAGTAACTGGATTCCAGAAAGCGTAGAACACGCGCTTGAATCTTTGATGTACAAGTGCCATCGCACACCTTTAAACAAACATACATGTGAGCAAAAATGAAACTATGAATATACATTGATGTCAAAGTATATCAGTGAACATACATTGCACATGGCTCCCAAACAAGGTAGATATCAAATCCTGTGCAGAGATATGGTCTGGTGGTTTCAGACAAGTCGCCGCAGCATGATTCATCTGTAGATTGCTCTTTATCCTGAAGTTCAAATTTGACCATGTCAGAAAAAAAACAGAGGAAATGAAAGCATAATTGACAGTTTATACAACAGCGTTGCAATGAGAAATTTATGACAAGCAACAAGGCTCACTTTTGTATCCGTCTTTAGCCTTTTTGCTGGTTCATTGTCCGAATAATCCTCCAAATTGCCATTTGAATCTGGCATGGTAATTGGAGTCGATGAAGGGAACAACATTCTATCCCTCTCAGCGGCATTCTCAATGGCAACCATGGCAGCATGTCTCAAGGGATGCCATGCAAAACAGCCTTCACAGGACAATGGCTTCTGCTCAGTAGTCCTTTGTTTCGTCCATCCCAAAGGATTTATACATGAGACTTCCATGTTCAAACTGTTGCATTTAGAAAGACGGGAGCTTGGCCGTAACAAATTGCCATTATTCTCAGTTGATTCATCCAAAGAGAAGGTATCATTTGCTTTCACTTCAGCAAGTTTGTTTCCTTCTGCAGATGTATCATGCTGGTGTGTTTGGTCTGTAGCCTTCGCAATTATTTGCATACTTGATGGATCAACAATAATGACAGCATTTCCTGCCTGGTAGATACAGATAACCAAAGTAGAGGTTAGTGAAAAGTATAGGATTGAACAGCAATCATCCAGCAAGATAAAATAGAACTTCATGGAATCACACTCTAGGAACTGGTTTCTTGAGAAGCTAGCTCAAAGAGAAACAGTCTCCAGTTTAGTGCGGCAACGCAAATCCACCGCAATTGCTTCAAAACTACGCTGCATGCTCCAACCCATCGCCATTGGCCCATTAGTCCAATCCAGCAGCAGAAGTTTTATTGGTTTCGACCAATTTAGTTGTCACCTAGTTTTTTGTGTCACAAATTAGTCCCCCAGCTACTGGAGCTGGTCTCTCAAGTGCTGGGGGTGGCGTACTTGGTCTCCAACTAATCTGCTATGCTTGTTTCAGGTGGTTTTTTTTGAGACGACGTCTTTCGACGCGTATTTCATTAAGCAGAAAGAGAGTTTTAAGCGAAACAACAAACTCGGTAATACTCTGATTACCAAGGTCAACCCACACACGCACCCACCGGACAACACAGGGTACTACATGATTGAACCAAATTTAAGAACTCCACGGGACTGCTCTCAGCGTCCAGACAGAAGGACGCCGAGCTGCCTGTACCCAGCCATTCGCCAGTCCTCCGCGACGAGGCGAATGTCCACGGCGAGGTCCCTCACTGTACGTGTACTGCCATCGAAGGTCCTCGCGTTCCTTTGTTTCCAGAGCATCCAACCGATCAAGAGCACGATGGAGTCAAACCCATTGTTTCAGGTGGTTCAATGGTGTCTGCGCAAAGCCATGGACTTATTGCTTAGTATTTGTTGACGAGTGGTGTTGGGTATGGTTGCTAACCGAGCAAAAGGAGATACTAAATTAAATGTGCATAAACTTTCAGAATCGTTTATGCCTTCCCTAAACAGTTACACATAAAATGAAATTGAGTAGCATCCTACTGAAGAATAGTAATCATAGCCCCCACAGCCCCACAATGAGACATACATTTGAAAATAACGGAGCACGATATAATAATTATAATATAGCTTCCAAGAGGCATTGTTAAGCCAAGAGTGGTCACCTTTGATAATTGAATAGCAGTCTTCATGCAATTAAATATTGATGGTAATTCGTTATCTCGAAATCCACGAATAATATCAAGGCTGTAAATTAACATAGAAATCCATCGGAAAGGATACTTAAGCACATAATAAAAAATTGAATGAAGAGTTGAAGACCACTCAGTAAAGCTGCAGCATATACACAACTCTAATTCTCTGCACTAAACTATATCTACAGACAACAAAACTATATGAACAACTGCCAATTGGATGCAAACATTTGTTACTGTAATTCCATTCTGTCAAATAATTATTTAAAATATATGAATAATCTTTTGTAATTAATGAGCCATAACTTGAAGTTAAACAACCAGGAGCCCACCAAACACCAGTCCACTGAAAATTCTAGACCCTAGAGCTATGCACTTGCCAATGTCCAGGACACCACTGGATAAACAAACAAGGAGAACTAGAGCTGTGAATGCAGATGCAACTACCCAAGCAGATTAAAGTGATCCATCAAGAATGGAGTCATGCTGCAAGATGGAGGAGTATTATCAGTTCAAGGGCAGTGCTATAGGCTAGAGTGGTAGACTGGAGGTCCAATTCCACCATCAACTGAAGCAGCTTTGCTGGCAACCTTGGTTGGGACATGAAAAACTTCTGTAGAAGTATATTGATGGTGATTGGAACTTTGAAGCAATTGCTTCATTATGAGATTCAGCTACAGAATTATTTTTCTCTTAACTTCATTGATAACATTTTGAAAAAAGGGGGTCCCAACAGGTAACGTGTCCTAGAAAATATTGCATGTTTGGGCAAAGAAACTAACAAGTACTCCTCCAATCCCAAATATAAGTCCATCTAGCTTTGCGCTAATACAAACCTTTCAGCATTGACAATCAATAACTAAAATTGATAGCATGAGGCTGGATGTAAGTAGATTCATTATGGTACATATTTCATACTATGTAACTCTTTCTATTTAAAATAATATATTCTAATAGATACTATTGGTCAAAGTGCAATGTTGGAGACCATGTCGATGTCCTAACAAACTTATACTTGGGATCAGAGGGAGAACTATTATGAACCGACATTGTAAATCCTACAGAATGCCACAAGAAAATGCATAACCAGACACATAAGAGTTAGGACATACTTGTGCGCAGGATGGTAAGAAGTTGGCCAAAGTTTACATTGTTCTTCCCACTCCTCTTTTGATGTAGCGGAACACTTGGCAACCTGTGAAAGACTTTAACAAATAGTGAATGTCAATATATGACAAGGGCACAAGGTAAGTCTAGCTAAATAAGAGGTTCTGTCAAGGATACAATCCAGAATCGCATGGCTAGCACTTTCACATGCCCAAAAAAATTGTCAAAATGAAATTTTAGCCAAGGATGAAAGCATTACTTACTTTTGCAATGAAAGGACTCAACTGATAAGTATCCACTATCTTTTGTACATCTCTAGGAAGCTGTTTGCTACAAGTTTGAGACCCAGTAGAAAGGCATAAGATTATTGATAAGTCAGATTTTCCTGTCAAATGTAATACAACACATAGTTAGAAAAAAAACTTATGCAATAATTATTAGCTATCGGCCAGCCAAGCTTAAAAATACTATGATCTGCTCAATTTTAGTTCCACATTGTGGTGGTTGGTTCTGCTTTTACTAGTTCAGGATTAAGGGTTCTGAAATATTTGTTACATGGTAGGCCAACTTGAAATATTGTGTTTCTCAGTTTAAGTTCCAACTACTCTGATTTTCCTTGTTCATTAAAATTGCTTACTACCTGACACAAATCAGCGCAAAAAGGCACTTTTTGCATTGAAGGACCAAATACTTTGGCATATGTAGATATTTTACAAGATAATAATAGAAAAGGCATCCTACGTCCCGATGATAATAAAACTTTCCGCTAATGATTGTGCAAAAGTAACTTTTGATGCATCACAAGGTTGTGCTTGGCTAGAAAATATAAAAATCATTCTGTATCTGACATTTAGGAGTATTTCTAGAGCTATGGCATGACTTTTAGAACATGTATTTTTAGAAAGCTAGTGGCGATACAACAACCTCCTTCTCAGTGAACAAGCATTGGAAGCCAAGATCACATAATTGTCCAACGGATAGCAAGTTGAAGCTCAATGAAGCAACATATAGCACATTTGAGATGGAATGATCATTTGATATTGCCACTTTGCCCAATCTTTTAACCTTGCCCTTTGAGTTATCTCCAAATGTAATTCTCTCTTATCCATCTACTTCTTCATCAAGTGAGGTGAACATATGAGGATCACCGGTCATATGTTGTGTGCAACCACTATCAATAACCTAATGACTTCCACCGGTCTTGTAGTTCAGCTACACACAAGAGATTCAAGCTTTAGGAACCCAAACTTGTTGAGGGCCCTTCACCTTCTCAACAAGTGACTTAGCAACCCAAATCTTCTTAGGCCTATTCTTGTTAGGAGGTCCTAAGAACATGACTTTCATCTTTCCAATAGAATCCTTTCTAAGCATATAATGAGCATTGAAGGCAAAGGGTCTAGCATGCTTGGGCAAGGGTTGTGGTGGTGGAGTTTGGCACTCATGAGCAAAGTGGCCTTCTTGTCCACACTCAAAGCATCTCTTTAGCTTCGGCTTTGATTGTTGTTGTTGAACTTGAGCCTTCTTCTTCTCTACATGTGCCATATATCCAATGCCACTTCTATCCATCTTCATGACGGTGTTCATAAGTAGCTCACTTTGAAGATATTTGCCTCTTATGAACTTGCTCAATCCAACCTTGAGATATTTTTTCTCCAACTTAAGCTTCTTATTCTCTTCCTTAAGAGCATCATTGTTCTTTTCTTCCTTGAGCTTCTTATTTTCCTCCTTGAGCTTCTCATTCTCAAGGATCAAGTCATCATCATGATCAAGGGTTTCTAGCACAATGGTGTTGTGGCTTTTGATTTCTTCAAGATCTCTCTTGAGCTTTACATTGTCATTCTTGAGCTTGACATACTCATCATAGTCATTGCACTCAACCACTTGCTTGCCCTTGATACTAGAACCTTGCTCAATGCTCTCAATGATCAAATCTTCACATGATGTAGCTATATCAATCTTAACAACATGGTTAGTAGCATCATGCGGCTCATTGGATAGAAATTCTTGAGCAATAGCAAGATTATCATGATTAATCTTAAGAGTAGTATATTCATCTTTTAGCTTGTTGTGGCTAGTGATGAGCTCATTGTGCATCAACTCAAGTTTATCATATTTATCTTTAAGCTCTTTCTTAGAAGATTTGAGCTCCTTGAGTTTGGATGACATAGCATCATTTGCTTCTCTAAGCTCAACATTAGCCTTTTCTATTGTATCACATTTTGCTAAAAGTGAATCATTCTTAGCATCTAGTTTTTCAATTTTCGCTCTACTCTTTCTAATGATCTTAGTGTATTTTCTTAGAATTTTAACAAGATCATCATATGAAGGTGAATCATCATCATCGCTATCGCTATCATCATCACTACTATCATCATTATTAGTTACCTTGCATTCACCCTTGGCCATAAGGCATAGGTGTGTAGAGGATGATGGCGGTGGTGGCGGTGAAGATGAGAGATCAATAGCTATGGCAGTCACCTTCTCATCGTCACTATCATCATCGGATGATCCACTAGATGAATCAATGTCCGTGAGCCAATCACCAACAATGTAGGTCTTTCCACTTTTCTTCTTCTTGTGGAAGCCTCTCTTCTTGCTATCTCTCTTCTTGTATGGCTTGTTCTTCTTCTTTTCATCATCTTCTTCATTGCTTGAGTCATCTTTCTTGCCCTTGAACTTGTTCTTGAACTTGTCTTTCTTAGGCTTGGTGCATTGGTGTGCTAGATGACCAAGTTCACCACAATTGAAGCAATCCATTTTGGAGATTGGCTTTCTCCTAGAGCTTGTGAAGAACTTCTTCTTCTTGCCATCGAACTTGATGCCACTCTTGTTTAGCTTCTTTAGCATCTTGGCGGCTTTCTTCACCATGAGAGCAAGATCTTCATCTTCATCTTCTTC